CAAAATGCCCCTACCAAAACGAACAGCACCCAAAAAATTCACCTCTTACGTAATACAGAACAGGTTCTCAACGTTTCCCACTTTGATAAAATAACTACGTAGAAATAAACAGTAAACCAGAAAGTGAACAAGTTTGGGAGCAAACAATTGACAGTCTGTAATTCCAGGCAGAACAACAGCAACGAGCAATCCAGGAGGAACAGCTGGCCCGTGCAATTGCTCAAGCTCGCTGGGAGCAGATGCAACGAGCCCGTGCCATGGAGGAGTACCAGGCCGAAGTGCAACGAGCCCAATGGGAACAGGCTCAACGAGCCAACTGGGAACGTCTTCAGATGCTCCAACAACAGCAGCTACAACAACAATTCCTCATGCCACAACAACCGTGGTGGCCACGTCATCAACCACAGCAACAGGTGAATGAGGTTCGTTTGTCTTCTGCTGGGAACAGCGCAGTAGTTAGAAGCGCCGCATCCTACCTAACTGTTGTGATCAAATCCCGTGTCCACCGCCATTTTAGCTGGTCTGAGACCACTCAAGGAGGATCTGTTGGGCGCAGTTGGGCTTGGTGGAGGCACCGAATGGTTTTCAACGAGCCCAATGCCAAGCTTTAACAGGCCACCTCGCGAAGATCTGTAAATTCCTGTGACCAAAGTGACTCACTCAAACAAATTCGTAGTTTCACAGGAGTTTACAGGTCTGACCAAAAATCTGTTAGTTAACGTGAACAACGAGAAAATCACCCCTCCAAGCCAAACTGCGCCGCTCTTTGAAAAAGTGAAACTAGGTAAAAAGAGAACAGATAGGAATAAGAGTCTCTATGGTGAAGCTGTTGATTCAGCAGAAGCTTCGTTGAAACGCCCGCGTATCCCAGCAGTTCTATTTCTACCCACAACAAGTGCCACCTCAGCAACAACAGCAACAACAATTCTTCTTCCCACAGCAACAACCGTTCCAGAATCAGGTACGGTAAACACAACCGTCCAATATAGGCCGCGTTGGTACCGTCGTAGGTGGTAGGCCTCAATAGGCCGCCGTGGGGCGTGCGTTGCGGAACGAAACGACCGTTCAAATACCTCTGGAAGTCCACTGATTCTCTGAGCCGCTGTATACTTGATTAGTTATTTATTTCGTGCGTACGCTTCGCGACCGCACGCTGCAGTGGCATGCTGCTTCAGCATCTGGCTAAATTTTATCAATCCTACGCAACTTGAGAAAATTCTACCAGTAGCTGACCACCACAGAATGGTAGAAAAAAGCCCATAACATTGATAATCGATAAGTCTTATACGAATTTTCTGCATTTTCAGCAGCAACAATGGCCGGTTCCTCACAGCAACAACCACAAGTGTAAGTTCTGTTGGCGGTACTGCCTTGGTAATATAGTCTTCCTGGGAGAGCAAAAGGAGATCTTGGCGACCGCCTGCGTCTGCTAACTCCTTTCTCATACACATTTCGCTGCCTCTTTTCCATCAGGACCATGGCAGTCGTTGCCGCGCTCGCCTTTTTGCCCACAGATGTGTAGTGCAGATGTATCAGTGGCATTGAAGCAAATCAATTCTTCGCTGCAAAAACCTAAAAGCAGCGGAACCGCAGCGTGCATTGAATTGAAGAACGACCAGGAACATTGTTACGAGTAATCCGTTCGAGCTGACGGTAAACCCATTCGGTTTGAAAAGGGACGTTTCGGCGGGGAGGAAGGAGCGTTGCTTTCGAGTTCTAAAAGGTCCCATCCTTGGAGTAGCGGCATGAGGAGGTTATATAAGGTCTCAGCATTCCACGTCTTGTCGATTTCTATACAATGGCTGGGGCGCAGGATTATTTCTCCCTTCAGCGGGCTGCTGGGTTCACGAGATTCTGAATTTGGGGTGGAGGTGGCACTGAAGGGATTACCGATGTGATGTTTCCGCAGCAAAACGATCCTCCCGCGAAAAATGAAGCGTACTATCTGTGTTCCTCGACTCTCTAATTGCTCCAGGTCTCTAACCGACCACATGACCGCATCACCGGTCGAGATTCTCTCCATGCAACACAACCGCACTGTACACCTGCACAGTAACATCGCAGGTATTAGCACACAAGGATTCACAGGGAGATGCAAGGTACAGGCGTTTGGGAAAATACTCAGCGGAAATACTAGTCACCAGCTGAATCCTTCAAACGGCCCTTCTCCTCTCCCGCGCGGGATCCGTGTGCGTTCACTTCCGAGCCCTGGCGGACCGCGCGGCGGCCCCAAGGCCCCCGCCCCGCACCGGTCAGGCCTCCCTGCCGCAGCGCCCTGAGTGCTGATAAATATACAGTCGATATCGCCGGGCGCTGCCACAATTAGCCCGCTGCTTATCTCTCTCTCTATCGATGGTGATCGGTAATATCTCAGTAAGAAACCACCATGGTGACAGCGTGGGGCTCATTACATACCTCTTGAAATTATCAACGAAGGAGGAGTGGGGCCGTATTTGGTTAGGTGGTAGAGTGGGGTCTGCCTCAAGGTGAAAAGATTGTGGAATTTTCCATCCCCATTTGAAGGTGAAGAAGCTGACGAAAGTTCGAAGTTAGCCTTGACCTTGAAGACGTCGCCATGACGGCTCTGACTCAAGCGAGGTGATCTCCAATAAAAGCAGTCTGAAAGCAGCAGTCTGGGAGGAACACTGGCCCTGCTGAGACAGGTGTTTTTCAAACTTTGACGCGATACTCTAACTCCAGTAGAGAGTTTGAACTTTGAAGAAAAAAAACAAGCGTAAAAAATCTCACTAAATGCCTTGTAATTCCAGAAGAAATCGCAGTTCATGGAATTCAACGGCCCCTCCAAACCCATCTGTAAGTTTTCTTGACCATGGAATCTACGTAAAATCCATGATGCTTGGAAAATCGCTCCCCACAAAAAAAAAAAATTTAATTATCATATTTGGGGGTGTAGTAAAAAAAAAAAATTTCTGGGACCGCCATCACGCCTACACCCGAGAGCCCCGGAAACTACGATCATGATGCGATCTTCCAAGAGAATATGAAAAAGATCAATGAAATGTCGACAACCACAGCTGCTCCGGTGACAACCGTCAAGGTCGCAGAAATCAAGCCGGTCAGACTGAACTGCCTTTGTCTTTCTGGCTCAAGCCATCATAAAAAATAAAAGCTGAAATTTCAGGTGAAGGCCGAAAATCCCGTCGCGATATTCTTTCGGTTCCTTCTTCGACGAGCTGAGGAAGAGGGAGAAAACGCGGTGGGTACGAGTCATCTTCAGAGTTTCGTATGGGACTTGCCATTTGCCATAGCTTGCTCTTTTTGCTGGCGGTGAACCACACCCATAGGGGAGGTCCCCCCCCCACACTCCGAACCCATTAGCTGTAGGACACAGCACAGGCTGAGGAGTCCCAGCGAGCGGGTCCAGGTCGATCTGTCGGTCTGTGCGAGGTCTACTTGTCTTGCTTGAAAGGACGTCATTAATCTGAAGGCACGGATTTATTGTATCGGGAATCATTTGCAATTCGCTGCATAGACCCTCACGCGGTCATAGAGGTCTGATAACTTGCTTCCTTCTACGGAAGTGGAGGTTAGAAGTTATGTGAAGTTCAACAATCACTTAGAGGGGGTCGTATCTGAAGCAACAGAGGAGCGAGTGATCTCAAACGACCTTTCTTCCTCGTCGATATCACGTGCGCTGCGTACAGGTTTGGCGCCGCGCCATGCCCAGCATCGTGACACGCCTCAGCTTCTGCAGCTATCAAGACTGAATATATGACTCTTTTGTGCGAGGCATTACAAATTATTAGAAATTTTCTGAGACCACCATTTTAGGCAGTCACCACAGAGAACGTGTTCAAGCTATTCGAGGACAAACCGACATCTACTGAGGTACTGTAATATTTTTATCAATAATATGACCTTTTTATGATATGAACATTTTTTCAGGCACCGAAGATTGAGAAAGAGCCAGTAAAGGACGTGGTTGACAACGCTGCACAGGTACGGTATTTCCAAATGGTAAATTTGATCAGATAGCGCGAGTTCATCGCTCTCAATTGTACCATTAGACTGCCACGGGATCCGTTTAATAAATCGGTAATTGGCCTGGACAGGTTGCATCAGGAGGGACAATTCCAAGAGCAACCTTACCAGCTAATCGAATTACCTTATCTGGCGACGTCGATTCGGGATCAGAGTATGCGACCAGAACGAAACCAATTATGACCGAAAGCGAAGAGGGCGTGTCCGCGAACCTGGCTGTCGCGGAAGCGGCTGCGTAACAGGGCACTTTTGGCAATGTAGAACATAGCCGATTCACAACAGCGACGACCAGCCTAAGCCGCACTCTCTTCTACGCTTGCTATATATGCTTTTGCGCTAAATCGGCAACAACCACCGATACACAGCCGCCGCCGTGCGCACAACTAAGTCAGTAGACACGCCTCCGCCAAGTGTCGTGAAATGGACCGTGTGAGGAAATAGATGAAGTAGGACTATCAGATGAAAGAAAATCGCATTAGAGGCAGCGGTGGGGAGGACTGTCACGCATTTTCCTTGTCGACATGACGTGCCTTGCACATATTCGAAAAGTGTAGGCGTGAACATGCAGCCGATTCTGCTACAGAAGCTCAGGAGTCTCAGGGGTTGGGCTTGGCATGGCGTCAATCAGTTCTACAGTCAGTTCTACAGCAATTGTTGTCGCTTGTTCGCTCAAATAATTGGTGGAGAATGGGCTGGCGCCGTGGCAAACCCAGCCCCTGGCATGGCCAGTGTCTGCAGTAGCACCGGCTATACCTTTTAGCAAGAAAAAGCGAACTCGTTTCAGATTGACGTACCAACTGAGAATGTCCCCAAGCCAGCTGAGGAACAGAAAGACGTACCAACTGAGAATGTCCCCAAGCCAGCTGAGGAACAGAAGCCTGAGCCAGAGAATATTTTCAAGGCAGTAGAGGAGCAGAAGCCTGAGGAAGCCACAGGTAGGCCCTCCGGACTTTTTCTCCATGACGTTAGCGTTCAAATTATAATCCGAATCAAAAGGCGAGAAGGTAGACGAATGCACTGAATAAGCGTAGTCTTTTGCAGATTCCGGATGAAGACACTGAAGGACCTGTGTGCCATCCAGTGTCATGAGGACAGGTTCCCACGGCTTGTGCTAGAACTACCCGCTACCGTAGACGTATGCTCTCATAGAATGGAACCCTCTTCTGAAATGCTTTCTGCCAGAGAGTCCGTTTTTGACCACCACTCCTTGTAGCTGATGTCAGAACAGATGAGGACATGGAGCAGATCACTCGCCGTGCGTGTCTTGAGGGGGTCATAGCTCTTACAGAGTGATTTTATTGACGCTCACAACCAGGCTCAAGGGTTTTAGATGGTCAGGTGAGCCGCATCGATACATACCCTTGCTACAAGTTAAATCACTACGAAAAAAAAGTTAAATCAGGTACGAAAATTTAATGAGTCCTATTTTAGATATTTCGAACAAGAAGCACAGAAGATGCGTGGCCCTCATCCGAAGACCGCTGTTGTAGACAGCGAAGTGCGCAAGGAGGATCCTAAGACGGTACGTTCAAGCCCCTGAAAAGTGGGGAGTTCGCGCTTAGGCAGCGTTCACACTCCGCGTCGACGCGATGTAACGCGCGTGTGCGCATTGTAACGCGCGTCGACGCGGTACTCTTGCAACAGCACTCCTAAGCCATATACACAAAAGCAGCCGCAGACAGGACGATCGGTGCCGACCCCTTGTATTTCGAGGGAGTCCCTAGTCACGCAGATTGGTATCGATCGCCCCTGGCCGTCTGCGGCTACGTTCGCGTCTGTGGCATTAGAGCGCTGTTGCAATTGTAGCGCGTCGACGCACGTTGCAGCGCGTCGCGTCGTGGCGAAGCCTGAACGCTGCATTATTGCGCATAGCGCATTACAGAAAACGTTATTGTTCGCCTTTCACCGCAATTTCTGGATTTCTCTCCGGAAAAACCAGATCACCTGTTTCAGGAGCAGCCACCAGCTGTCGACGTACCCGAACCACACTTCCAAGAATTCCAGCAAGACCCGAGACTCGTTGTTGACTAAAATTGCGGCTTGGCGTTATGTCAGCCTCCCAAAATAGCCATTCTAATTGCATAATCGTGGTCATTATTTACTTGATTGTCTGTCTGTTCAGCTCCGTTTATTGTATGCCTTATTACCATTTGAGCAAATTTTTGTAGCTCTGCCAAAACACTTCGTTTATTAATTTTTTTCAAGTTGTGACAAAATGAATTTTCACCCACCGCCGTTGTAAACTGATTGTGATACTAGCGCAGGCGACATCGTCATCCCGTTGATCATGTATAGCTCCACTGACAGGTTGTAAATAAACAGTTGATGTTATATTTACTTAATTCCTAATGACATCAAGGGTAACCAAGAGAAATGGCCTCAAAATTTCTCAAGAAATCCGATTGAACAATTGCATTTGGTGTCGGTTAGCAGGTTCCGGACCGCGTGACACACATGGTGTGTCATACTTTTTTCTCTCTGCGCCGTTTCATACGGTCTATTTGGCATCTTATTCATGCTCCGAAGTTATCAGAACACGTTTTTAGGCACAGAATACACATATCTCATAGAAAAGTGAACGAAACAGATGAAATTGCTGATTATCGATTTGAAAAAGTAACAAAATTATGCGGAGATGCTCGAACAACGGTCCAAAATGTGTTAAAAGATCCGAATTGATGTGTTTCAGCGTAAATGGAGTTGTTAGTGTCA